ATTAAATAATTAAATAATAAATAATTAAATTAAATAAATTTAATTATTAAAAATATTAAATATAATAAAAGTGATTATCTATTATTAAAATAACTATGTTATAGAATATTTGAACTATAACAATGCATGTGTGATCTCATCATCACACCTAAGACTATAATAATCTAATCTAAATCATTTTTAGTTTATATAAACTAAAAATGACTTAAGTTATTTTATTATTTATCAAAACTTTTTAAAAAAATTATGAATTTTATTATTTATTTTCTTATATTTAATATAATTAATATATTAAAAACTATCCACTTAAAATATATATAATAAGCAAAAATTCAAAGAAAAATTATATATTTTCAAATTTAAAGCTGATATTGATAAATTTAGTAAGAAGTTACAAGTTAAATAAAACAAAACAAAAATTTTAATTAAAAAGAAGTAAATTTGTAATTTAAAAAGAGTTAATACAAATACTCAATAAATTTATATTAATACTATAGTTAAATTTTATTATTATAAAATTAAATTGAACTGATAATTTCAGATTAGATCAGATTCAGATTAAATTTAATTCAAAAATTATAAAATAGTTTTTCAATAATAACTTTTATTTTTACTAAGATACTTGTATTTTGTGTTTAAGTAAAATTATTCAGAATATAATATGTACATATGTATATATTTACAAATTTTTATTTAATTCTAATTAATATTAAATGAGAAATAAATATTTTTTAAACTAATTCAAAATATTTCAAATTGAATTTGATTTCAATCTGATCTAATCCAAAATATGTATTTCAAATCAGATTACAAAGTGAATCTAATTTGATTAAAACATTAATTAGTATTCTCTTTTAACAAATTTTATATAACTTGCAAATAATTTTCAATTGAATATAAAACTAAAATTACTTGATTCACAATATTACAAATAAAATTTTGTATAGATATTTTTATAACATATATATTTAACTAATATTTATATTATTCATATTTTATGTACTTGATCTTATCAGATTCTATTACTTTAGGATTATTATACAATATATTTTCTTCTATTTATTAAATAAATTCTTATTATTATTAATAAATAATATATTTATTTAGTATGAAATAATTATAAAATATAATTAAATTTTTTTATAGTTATCATCTTCAGAAAAGCAAAGTTTAATAACTATAAAGAAAATATAACTATAGAAAGATTTTTTTATTATATTTATATGTAAATAAAAAAATAAAATAAAATAATTATAGAGAAATATAATTATAAATAGATATAACTATAAAATATTTAACTATAATATAATACTAATATTTTTTAGCAACTTGATTGAAATTCAATAATGCAAAAGATAAGTATATTAATAGATATAATAAGTAATTAATATATAAATTTTATTAATAATAAACAAAAGACAATTTATTAACTAGCTAAATTTTTATAATAATTAATTAATTATGTTCAAGACTTTATTTTATATTGTATTTATATAATTTGAAAATATATTAATATAATAAATATATTTAATATATTAATATTTTTAATATAACTAACTTAATAAATATATTAAATATATTAAATATATTGAATATTTTAAATATATTAAATATATTAGAGATATTATTAAGAAGTTATAAATTAAAATTAAGAATTATAAATTAGATTATAAATTATAAATTGTAATAATATGATCTAATATTTTTTATTTTTCTTTTTATTATATAAATTCTTAGCTTTAGTAAAGAAAAAATTAAAGTTATTGATCTAAAAGAAAACAAATTATAAAAATTAGAACATAAATTAGATCAACTAATTCAATAGTTTTTTATTATAGATCTATTTTCTATGCATAAATTTATATTTATAATAATAATATTAATAGTATTTCAACTGGATTAGATTTAATCTGTGATTTGAGCTGGAATGTATATTTCAAATCAGATTAAACTCAATCTAAAATATTTTGAATAGTCTAAAAATCATTATTTTTTATTTAATATTATCATGATATAATATTTGATAAATAATTTTATTAAATAATAAAAATCTTATTTCTTATTAAACTATAATTATTAGTATTCTTATTGAATAATTATTTTTAGTAAATTATTATTTATTAAATATTTATATTTTAGATAATTATTAGTTTTTAAACTCATATTAATATTAATAATACTTGTATTAATAACAATAATGATATTAATATTTGTATTAATATTAAGAATACTAATAATATTCATGTTTAATTAAATTAATAATAACAATAATTATGAACTTAAAAATTAATACTAGTAATAATAGAACTAATAATACTGTATAATATGTAATTTATATAAATATATCATGTATCTTAACTTAGAATCAGTAAGTTTATAACTTCAAAATAACTTGTATAATTATATTTGTATTAGTTTTTGATCTTGAAAGATAAATTACTTATTATTATTAACTTAAAAGTCAGTTACTTGGAAAACTTATTGTTTTATATCATAATTTTTAAAATTCTAAAAGTAAAATACATAAACTTAGTGAAATTATATTAGTTCATCACAACACAAACACATATTACCTATTTTTAATTATAATTTTTAGTCACTTCTAATATAAGAACTTAGTCATTTTTATCTTTAAGTTAATAGAAATATATAAATAATATATAAATAATTTAAATTTCACAAAAATAGTAACAATATTAATTAAAATTAAACAAAAATTTGTAAATAAATATATACATAATTATATATTCAAACAAATTATTAACAAAAAATTATTTTATGATTTTTAAATCAAATCTGATTTAATCTGAAATTCTCAATTTAAATTGATCTCAAATTCAATTTAATTTGAATAAAGCTTTAAATATTGAGCAAAAAGAAATTAATATAAAAAAAATTATTAATATGATATTTGAAAAAGAATTAATAATGAAAAAGAAAGGGAGAAAAAAATTTTTTTTAGTAAAATATTAAATAATATTAAAGCTCTTATTATATTTATTAAACAATTCGAATGGGATATTAACACAAATTTTTATTATAATTTAGTTAAGTTACAAAAGAAATTTGTTATCTGAAATATAATCCAAAAAAAACAAATTAGTATTTATCAATTTTTCATTAATTTTTGGTTATTATAATTCAATAAATATTTAATAATTGAATATAGTGAATTTTTTTCTTTTATAATAAATCTAATATAACAAAAAAATTTTTAATTGACTAAATTTGTTAATATATTAAATCAAACAATAAGAACTGAATGATCTGTTATATCAATATTAATTGTGTATAACTAGTACTAAAAATTGAATTATTTAAAAGTGATCTTCAAAAAATATGTTATAATCTATACTCAACAATTTGTTTCAATTTTTAAAATCTTTCAATTCAATAGAGACAAAATTTTCAAAATTTGATTAATAACTTTATAGAGCTTATTATAAAGAACAAAGTTACCAGTCAAATTTGTTTCTATATTGAGTTGAAAGATTTTAAAAATTGAAACAAATTGTTGAATATAGATTACTTGAACTATAATTCTTATCAAAGATTATTTAATAATATAATTTTTTTTGTAATTAAAATGTTTGAATGCAAATTCTTATAGTTCAAAGTATTGAATTATTTGTATTATATTATTTTTAAGCATTCAAACAGTTCAGTTTAAAATGAACTGATTCTTCAAATATTATTCATATCTATACTTGCATCACGTGAAGTCGGAAAAGCAACTCTGATTTTGTCAACCGTTCCATTTATTAGAAAATTCAAATAAACTTTAACTTCCCTTTCCCATTTTGGAGTCTGCCAAATCGCACATTCGAATTTTGCCCAGAGAAACATTTGTACTATATAGACATCAAAATAGCCACTAGTAAATAATTACACAATTAGTTGACGATGTGCTGCCCGCACAACAGATGCTGTCTTCATTTCTTTGAATAATTGACGGTTATTCTATTCTCTTCGTGATAGGTATAGGTATAGAAATAAAATATTACTCTAATTCGATGTTATCAATGATCAAGCGTCACACGGTTGTAAACATAACTTTAAGTTTGGTTTCTATTATCATTATGTATGTGACTGGTTTATTTATTACATTTGCAAGACCTGTACATCATCGTACATAATGCATAATTGAATCTACCGAATCTAAAGAATTACTTAACGAAATTAGAGTAGAGCTTAAAGGGTTCATTAAAGAACGAAGATGTTTGCATAATAATGGGTTACATAAAAATCATAGTTTCTTGAATAACGTTAAGTCACGCCTGATTTTTGAGCTTCTTCCAAAGACTGCTCACGGTATTTTTAATATATATTAAATTTATTAATTAAAATTAATTAACATTAAAATTAAGGTATAATATCAGAATGGGAGGTACATAAAAATTTGAACGTGCTCGTTTGTGCGACATGCAGCATTATTAATTATTTCCAAACAAAATTTGCCTCTTATCCGCCTTTTTTATAATCTATTTGTTCACGTCGAGCATTATTACTCAGCAAACTTTGAAATCAAATTATTCTGGCATATAGTCACCAATATGACAACTTTACAACTATCGAAACCACGTTCTTCGAAAAAATCTAAACGCGTAAGTATCATATAGCTCGTGTCTCTCTTACTCTTTTTATTGAATCAACTTTTTCTCAGAGGTCAATGCCAGCGAGAGTTGGTGACCCTGAACGTTTATTAGAAGATGATAATCCTCCCACACTACCTCCACTTGAACTTTCTTCGAGTGACCATCATATTTTGGACTTAATGTTGAATGAAAGTTGTAGTGAACTTGATTTAGGCATAGGACAATCTTCCGAGGCAAGGATCTCTACAGAGCAGGTGCAGGAAACTGAGCTGTCTCTACCCCTTTATAATAATAACACTAGTGATGTGAATAATAACCGGGATTCGCTTGAAGTATTAGAACCACTTCTTTCACCTACTGGCCGAGTAGAAATAAACAATGTATTATTGTCTCAAGTAAGTCTCTCAAAGAAATGAAACTCAAAGCAACGTTTATTTTTGATAATATTATATTGAAGAATTGCATTGATTAAATATATTATCTATAGGATGTAATAGAATCTTTAAACACTGTAAAACATGTTTCACTTATGGCCTTGGATAATGTTTTACGACAAATAGTGGCGGATGATATCGTGCATTCGTCAACTCCTTCGTTAAGTATTTCGTTGATATCTACAGAAAATGCTGGCAGATGGAGGAGACGGGCACTTAGTGATATTCCTACACGAGCTAATCCTACTACCGATAATAATACTATTGAAAACATGACACGAGAAGATCGAGATGCATTTATTAGATCACAAATATTAGCAGATATTGCACAAAATGCAACTAAATTAGGAAGCAAAAGTGAAATGCAAGAATTTGGAGGACGTGATTCTTTGGGAGCCTCTTCTGATCTAATAAAACTCGCAGAAATACAGAACCAATTAGAAGCTAATTCGCCGATAATACCAAGTGACGATTACAGTTTGGCGTGTACTCTGGCGGCGCTTTTAGAAAATCTTTATCGTATTTTGGAATTGGTTGGTTCTCCACAACAACATGCATCAGCATCATCATCGCCTTCGTCTGATGCCATAACAAATGCAAATTGTCATCATTCAAATTCACATACAGCCGAGGAAATATTACAAACAGTGAATGATGAAAATTTATACGCTACACTTCGAAACGAAGTTACAAATCTTCAAAATAGACATTCAGATTTCGAATATCGATATTCAAATGATGTTTTTGATGAGCGTATTGCCACTTGGAATGAAATTCGGCGTCTGATGGAAGTTGTGTCGAGTTTTTGTCGTGATAGATTAGTTAATGATCCGCCACCAAAATATACAACAACGCATACTGAATATAATGAAAGATCGAATTTAATTGATCCACCGAAATATTCTTCACTGTTAAATAATAACAATAATTATATTGGCACAGATAAAAAAACGGACTACGAAAAAACACAACAAGATTTTGATAATGTGCTTTCTGCCATAGAACGGGTATACGATGTTGCACCACAACTTACTAATCAGCGAGTTGAACTTAATAATCGTCAAGCTAAGCAAATGTCCGCGGCGATTTTAACTTCAACCATTCAAAGGCTCTCACGTGGACGATACGAAGAACAGCGTGCTTCCTCAAATTCTGTTGTGAAGTACCAAACTTTGAATAAACTGGTTGAGCAAATCAATAAATCAGCATCACGAAGTTTTGTCGATCAACGAGTGGAACTGAGTCCTCGTCAAATTCGCCATTTTGAAGTTGCTAAACTGAATGGTGTCATCGAAAAATTGGGAAAAAATCGAATGACTAATCAGGTAATAATCTGTTATTATTACACAAGATTTAAAATTTCACGATTTGTTGTTAAATGCCGATCATTATACATTAAATATAAAGGATTGGCATCCACCAGAACAATTACTGGTCCGAGATCTGACTAGACTTGTCGGAGAACTATCAAAATCCAACCATGCAACATCATACGCTTCTCAACGTTTTCAGTTGTCAGCTGTAAAAGAACGTGACATGTTCATGAATAGTGTATTAAAAAAGGTTGAGAAAATGGGAGGCTATCGACTGGATAATCAAGATGCGGATCCTCCGGCTCAACGTCGTGGGCATGCGTTACAAGAAATTGAAGGATTGATGGAGAAATTATCACATAGAACGCCAATGAACAATCAACGTGCCGAATTACGGCCAAAGAAATCATTGAAATCGCTTAAATCGAAATAATTACTTTTTTATCTATTTGTGTATTTTGTTTATATTTATCCATTATAACTGATGACGCATTAGCAACATTGTCAAATATGTAATATATCGATATAGATACACTTATACAATATCATTTATATTTAACATAAAATCCGAAAATGAAAAAAAAACTGTCCATTTATAGTAAGTTAATGCACTGACTGCATACTAATACAGTGTAGAATTACTTCAAACAACCGTTGTCATTATCGGCGTTCTTATCCGACGCCATAATTGTGCAAGAGATGCATGCAATCAAAGCGTTTTGCCGGGAAACCTTTTTTTTTGTTTGCCCTTTTTATTTGATACTTCTCACCGTGAAAAAAAAACTGATCAGGCGAATTAATCATACATATATTTCTCATTATTATTATTATCATCATCATTTATTATGGACTACCAGTCTTAAACTAATATATTTATCGTAAAGGTGTTTGTTAAAGAAAAGGAGCTTGTTTTCAAATTTTGGGTTGTGTGTACTTTTTCTTTTTATATAGTCGAAGTAGATAAAAGTTTAAATATGAATGCAATCGTAGCCCTTGTGCACTTTTGCGAAGTTGAAGGCCCGAGTGTAATTTTTTGTACACAAGCTTTTCATGACAATAACAAAAATTCCAGTGAAGATTTGCCATTGGACAGTTCACACTCGGATAGTAGCGATAATACATTCCCCTTAATTAATCAAGAAAATACATATGAAACTGTCAGAGACAATTATCCGACCAATAATATCAATATTATCAGTAGCAATAATAATAATCATAATAACAATAATAATAATAATAAGCAACAACGTAAAGATTCTTCATCCTGTGCCTCTTGTGCTTTTATATTACCCGAGAAAAATTATCCAATTCCCAAAAATAACAGCAGCACTACCACCAATACCGAATTTAAAGGTTTCAAAACGGAAGATGATGATAATCCGTTAGTTGCTTATATTGGATCTCGGTATCCACAACACCCGCAGCTCTACTCTATTGTTCGACAAGCTTGTGTTAGAAGGTAATCAAATCAATGTCCTTTTATTACTCTGCATGATAATAGTTACAATCCCCATATTATTTTAAAATACAGCTTGAGTTGCGAATTCTGTCAAGGAAGAGAAGGACCCGTCTTATTTGGAGACGAGAAAAATGGTTATGTCTTGAGTTATATGTTCAAAATCAAGGATAGTCAAGCTCGTGGATCACATCGCTTTTATAGTTTTATTTTTTTAATGACCGATCGAGTTTATCTTGTCGCGTCTTGGCCATTTCTTGTCAGGTACATTTTACAATTATCTATTTTATAATTTTACAATAACACTGCACCACTCTGCGTAATTTGACTCATAATTTGAATCATTAGTAAATTTCGTATTTTAGCTACAAGCCTACAATCAAAAGCATCTCAAGTTTTTGATAAAGAAAAGGCAGCACGTGAAAGGCAAGACGATCCTTTTATGTCACGTACTGGTCCATTACCGCAAACATCTCCAGGCATGTAACATTCAAAGTACACGTACATATATGCATACTTAAAATAAACAGCTTTTTAATCCATCTTTAATAATTCTATTGTTAAATAATACAGATCAATTTCTACGAAGAAGAGCCAATCAACCCTTGAGATCGTTAGTTGACCTGTTAGGATCCAAGGTTGAATTCAAAAATATCTTGATTTGACCATAACATCAGCTACGGCTCTTGTGTGTCTGATGTGTCGCATATCATCACACATATCCCATTACCATTATCATCTTTATAAAATCTTCATCAGGATTTGTTTGTTCAACTTCATGCCAATTTTAGTTGGATTTTGAAAGCGGGTGGTCGACGGCTACAAGAACGACAAGTTCACGGTGAAACTTTGGTGTGTATATTGATTAATAGAATTATATAATATTACGTATATATAGTCTTTATTTATTCTTTTGAAATATCGGATCTAAAATGAAAATTTATTTCAAAGTCACCTGAATTACATGATTTCACGCCAAAGTCTATCGGTTTTTTCCAGCCAAACTCAAATATCAATTATAATAATGAGCTAAATGGGTCATCCTCCTCTCTCTTTGTTAAAGGGGGTATTTTTCTCGCAGATTCAAAGAAGTCGAATTCTGAGTTACGGATAAATAATCTACCACATTTGCAAAGCGTGTTAGGAATTTCTACGTTTCGCCAAATGGTTTTCAATTATGTAAGGGGAAATCAACTAATCATCCAAGGATCTAATCAAGAGACAGTGAAGTCTATAGTAGCCGTCGTAAAGGTTAAAAAAGTTATTTTATTATTTTCATTATTGAACTAATAAGCAATCAATGGATGCACGTTCTTCTAACATTCGATAATCGTGATAATGCTTGAGCAATTCGCTCATTGTAGTATAAATCAATGCTGATAATATTTCCTTTTAATTTAGGACCTGATTCCACGTAAATGCTATTCTGCAATAGAATATGATCATAAATATCATAATGCGACAGAGTGTAATCTTTTAGGGTTAAGCGACACGGCTAAGATTCCGGAAAATGTCAATACAGCATCTATTTGTCTTTTGGATATCCTTTTTCATCTTCGATTTTTATTAGTTGTAAAGTTTGCGTATTCATAATTTAATCGGGCAAGTGACACCTTTAACTCGGACATAATAACACATCTCTCTAGCGCATCTGATAAAAACTCAGATCTTCAAATCCACTTGAAATACGGAACAGACGAAAAAGCGAAAACTAAAGAACCACAAGTCAATAAAGCTATTTCCACTACGACCACTTCGATTACAAACAAACTTCCAAATTTATATATGGACCAGTTAATTGAAATTCTTGAAACGAATTTAGCAATCGAGTTGTTGGAAATGCGATTAATTATATTTAAGGAACAGTGGCTATGGTTGGTTGGATTTTTTCGCTTTCTATTTTGTTCCTTAATATTGCAAAAAGTTTAAGAATTTTTTATGGACTAAATCTAATAATAGTAAAGCGCAACAATTTCTAAGATACTTGAAGTTTGGCGCAGGCAGCGTTACTAGTGGAGTTAGTATGGGAGTTGCGAACGGAGGAGGACCATTGCCTGACATCTTAAATAGCAACAACAACGCGGTACCAACATCATCAATAAAACAAATTGAATTTCTCAAACAATTAAACGTTGACGAACACGATCTTCCGATTATCAAGTTTTGGACGGGTTATTATAGAAATGGATGTTGAAATAGATAGATAGATATAGAATCACCAATAATTATTATTTATATATACACAAATCCTTTCGCGACATACCTCATCGTCCACCACTCTCGCCTCAATTACCATAAGCTTATCATTATTTTTACTCTTTCTTATTTAACGTTAATCTTTATTATTCTCTAGTACATGCTTGTAATATAGAAAGGAGTAGATAGATATAGAGAAAAAGAGTGTGTGGGGGATTTTTGGGACGATTATTATTTTGTACTATATATTTTATACATAATTTTGGAAATTAATTAATTTTTTGAATTCAAATTTCAAATTCATGAGAATAAATAATAAATGGATAATTTATTTGTTGCATCCCGTTACATTTCATTTGTCACGGGTCACGTGATTTTAGAATTATTACAATTTGATTGGCTAAACATATTGAATACTTATAATATCAACATAATTATATTTAATTCTATAAATATTTATATGGATCATTAGTACATGTATTACCTTGTTAGACATGCATCTATTTGATTTGATTATAATAAAAAATAACCAATAAAAATACATAAATTTTGATCAATTCAACAAAATAAACTAATATAAAAAAAATTAAAAATACAAAAAATGTGAAAAATACAAGAAACAAATGTCTAAATCTGTTCAGAATACTAATAAAAAATATCAAAAAGATAATTTTATATTGTTATCATTTTATATAATTTTAAGTCTTGTTATGAAAAATCACGTTATTACGATCCAAATATTTTATAATATAATTATTTTAATGATAGTTAATTACTTTTATTATATTTAACATTTTTAATAATTAAATTTATTTAATTGAATTATTTATTATTTAATTATTTAATTTATTATATTCTTATTGGATGAATTTGAAATTATATTTAATATGTGATTTTAACATGTGATTTTTACATGTGACTTGGATATGTGATTTTACATATGATTTATTATTATTAATTTAGTTTTATAATTTTTATAATTTATAATTTTTATAATTCTATAATTCACATAATTTTATAATTTCATAATTTATTAAAAATATCAAAAATATTCAATATATTTAATATATTGTTATGATATGAATATTTAGTTCTTATTTTATTAGTTAATTTATATTATAAATTTAATTGGATAATATTTTATTATATTTTATTAATTAATTTTATATTCATATTTTATTGAATAGTTATTTTTAGATAGTTATTATTTTATTGAATAATTATATATTAGATATTATTGGTTCTTAGATTTGTGTTAATTGATCTATATAACAAAAATTTGATTTATATTAATAATAAAATTTATATAACATTAAAGTGAATGATACATAATCATCAAGTAAATGAGCAATATATAACCATCAAGCGAGTACTTTTTGTAACCTTAATATCAATCAAAAATAGCTTTAATATTTAAAAATTGAGTAATAATAACTTGTATAAATATAGCTTGTATTTTAGCTTGAATCAATAGCAATAGCTCGTAAAGCAATAGTAATAGTTTTATAATTTTATAGCTCTCAAAACATCAAGAATAATAAATAACAATTAATAAATTAATAATAAATTCATTTAATAATAAAATTATACTTTATTATTAAATTATAATCTAATAATGAAATTACTATTATTAAAAATCCAAATCACATTCTAGCTGATCATATTATGAACATACTGTTATCTCCCTTTAGACTTGTTATAATCATAGTTTAATACTTGATGCATTATATATATTTGATTATATTATACCCTCCCACCTATCATTCTAAATAAACTTTATTATAATTATTCTAATCAAATAACTTATTATAACATTATTAAGTACTCATTAACTTTTTCAAAGACTCATATAAAATAGTAACAATATATAATATATTTAATATATTATATTTATTATATTTATTATATTAATTAATGAAAAATATTATTATAAATATAACTGATTTTGTAATTATAAAAAAAGCAAGTTATAGTAATTAGTCTAATTAATAATTTAAATAAAATATTTATTATTTGATTATCTTTATTAATCTTATAAACAAACTAATTAATTACATAAAATTATATTACTATATTTATTATACTACTAGACATTCAACCAGATTGCTATAGAATATTGTTATCATTTCATCAAGAAAATTTGTAATTACTTAATTATTGATCAACAAAAATTAAGATATATTACAAAGAACATTAAATGTTACATTATGTAACTCAATGATAATCAAATTAATTTACCTCTTTATTTTTATATTGTATTCCATTATATTTAGTATATATCATTATCTTTTTGATATCTAGATCATAATACCTAAATATTAATCATATTTTTGTATACTTTTTGTTTTATTTTCTTTTACTGTTGCACTAAAATCATTTATTCTTGTATTTTTCACTATAAAACTTATATTTT